TGAAAATTCGTCACTCGAGCCTCCACAACAATCTGTCAGTATAAAAAAATATCCACATGGTCAACTACATGTATTGGCGACAATATGAAAATCCTGAGGAAATTTTCCCGAATTTTCGGTAGTTTCTTTACACTTCTACCCGAATTCGTATATAAACTCCTATAACTTGTGAGGAAATTCCTGAGCTCAGCAGCTGAGAAAAACCATCATATATTCCTCCAACACTGCGATCTGTATTCATCCCCGACTGACGCCCCAAGGCCGACCCACTTCTGGAAAGGCGTCATTGACTTTCTCGCTTTCGCGTCCTTGGCTCCAACTCTCAATGTTATAACCTATCGACAGTGTGGGGGAAAATATGCACATGTATTGGTAACAATATGAAAATTCTGGAAACTATTTTTTTGGTTTTTCTACTCGAACTCGTATGTGAACTACTATAGGGAAGTAAAGCGAGCATATATTCCAACACATTTTACGCGAACTGGCGTAAAACTCGGTGAAAAACGCGCTATTCGCGGCGCTGTGCAGTAGTCGTATAATATATTTTTCAATATTTTTAGAGTGAGACTCCACTGCCCACAGAAGAAATGCCAGGAGTAAAAACACAATGAACAGGAACATACCAGTAGAGGTAAAGCCACGATGGAGACCATTGTATTGAGTGAAACCGCTGGCAGCGTTATAAGAGCGTCCCCATTGACGTGGATTGAAATCGGCATGAGCCCGTCGTTTTGGAAGCCCTGTGACTTTGATTATCTGCTGATGAGATAATAACAAACCAATAGCAACGATCACCTGTATATGCAGATCCAGCTGCTTTGTGGCATTCACACTCATACGAGGGTCTTTGCGAGGCGCCGGTCGTAGCGGCCGATACGGCGTGAAGAACGACTTCAAAGTGTGTCTACCGTCGAAACCAGTGTTCGAGGAACATATGTTCGCTTTCCTCAGCTTAGCTCAGGAGTTACCTCAATTACTATAAAGTTTACATACGAACTCGGGTAGAAGTGTACAGAAACCACTAAGAATTTCCCAAATTTTCGTCAGAATTCTCATATTATCACCAACACATGTGGTCAACCATGTGCATATATTCCAACACTGGTAAAAGCATCGGATGTTGAAAACAAATCTTCGTCGAGAATTTTTGATGAAAACTGGATCCACGCTCTACACAAGACAAATCTTCGCATTTTTTTCCTCATGAAAACTTCCATAAATAACATTTTTCAACTTGTCAACGATTTTCATATCGCAAAAAAACGGCGGTTCCGTGTGACATTCAAATCTATGGAAGTAACTTTCTGTCAAAATACTTCCCTTGCTCTCGGCCGGGTGAAAATTTCCGTAAAAAAAATATTTTTCCCACCCGCCAAACTTTCGATATTATATACTGCGAGAAACCCCGTACTTGCGTGTTCGTCATAACATTTAAACTTTCAGATTCTGGAGATCACATCCGCTTTTTAATTTGTAAACTTTCCAAAAATGCCTTACAGTAGCTCCCTCCACTGCAAAGCCTCGCCCGACTTCATTTCGTATTCCTGGACAATACTCGAATACGTCACCGGCGATCTGAAAAGCCATACCATAGGCCTTTGCAGAAAACACGACGCACCTCATCTGCAAGTGTTGTCGACTTCTTGCCCTAACCCTGTCGATGAACTCCTGTATATGTGCTTCCCGTCCAACTCCACTGCCCTCTACTATTGATCGAGATGTACTCGGGTACTCTGCGAGGCCCCCCGGTCGGTCGTCAGCGTCATGCATGGCTCTTCGGCGTAGATGAGCAGGCAACTCCCGATCGAAGGCAGGGATAGGCCTAGACCCATATTCTCCTAGAAAAACAAAATCTTCCCTGTGCGTGCTTGTCGGCTATTTTCAAGATACGGCTGCTACAGAGCGAATTAAACCTGGGATTTACTCGCCGTGCAGTGTTGAAGACTATATTTGATTTATACTACATTATAAAGATTTACTCACCATAAAGTGTGTGAATGTATAAGAACCAACGGGAAATTTTCCAAAAAAATACTTAGAATTTTCATACTATCACCAACACACGTAGTCGACCATATGTATATCTTCCCGGGCTGAAGTCATACTTTTTTATAACTGAATAAGTTTTGGCTCATTCCTGGGGCAGTTTTGAAGGAGTATATGTAATCGCTCTCCTCAGCTGAGCTCAGGAGTTTCCTCACTAATTATACGAGTTCACACACAAATTCGGCACGGAATAAAAGCACAGAAAATTTCCCAAAATTTTCTCAGAATTTATTGACCACACTCGCTGAGCATATATGAAGTCTTATATAGTCAGTATAGCTAAAGGACGTTTCACGCAGGTGTGGGTGATTTCTGAACGGTCCTTCTCGTAAACGACTGGGTGTTTCAAGCTGAGACTTTGCCACACGTCAAATTCAGGCTATTAGTTCTTCATGATATCTTCGGTGGCAAAGTTCCGACCGAAATACCCTTCACAAAAGCCAGCAAGAAACACACAAGATTGACGAGGGACGAGACGTCGTCGACCCAGAGAAGTTGTAAACTCATCTTGACGCCTTCTGTGGTTACGCCTGATTGAGTAACCTGTTACTTGCGGTTTAAAACTATAGGGACTTTGATGATGAGTTTTTTCCACATACGCCCAAGGCGCAAGATTTTACGTCTAGCAACATCTGTGCATCGACCAAATACACGTCGATGGTCAACACACAAGATTGATGAGGGACGAGGCGTCGTCGACCCAGAGAAGTTGTAAACTGTACGCCTTTGAAGATACGATGCCTTCCTCTGCTCGAGTGATCTGTTATTACTGCAAGAGTACAATTACAGTTTAACACTATAGGCACTTGGATTGTTACAAGCTCTTCAACACATACGCCAAAGGCGTAAGATTTACGTCTAGCGACATCTCTACGTCGACCACATACAAGTCGATGGTCATCATTACCCCTCAGTGCGGGGGGGAATATACACATGGGCAACTACATGTGTTGGTGACAATACGGAAATTGTGGAAAATTCACATTAGTTTCTAAACACATCTACTCTCGTATATAAACTTCCATAATTAGTGAGGAAACTCTCCTGAGCTCAGCAGCTGAGGAGAGCGAACATATATTCCTCCAACACTGCTCCCGATCCTCACCAACAAGGCGTCCTTCAGCTCGTTCGCGTAACATCGTCAACCGGGCACTCCTCCACATTGCAGAACCATCATCACCAGCTGCGAGTGGCAACCAACAATACCTAATATAAACTTCTTCAAAAAAATCCGATGGAGTTGCACCAATAATATGAAAAACTCATGCATAGCGCCGCGAATATCGCGTTCTTCACTACTTCACGTAAAACGGGGAAAGTTCCATTCAACCACGATGAGAAACGCACCTTTTCTCGAGGTTCTCGGCAGATTCCGGTTCGGCAGTATCAACAACATCAGATTTTTCAACACGTGAAGGCTCATGCACACTCGTCTCGTCATGCGACTTCCCGATGATGGGAGGAACCGCATATTTACTGTGCTTGGCATCCGGCCAGGAGAGGACTCCAGTGATGATACCTACAGTGTGATCAACCAAACCGTTATTATGCAAAGTAATATTTTCAATTTTCGAGAGTTCGAAAGTCAACTTTGAGTAATATCAACATGATAACAATGTGAATCGATTGACACCAACGTTTTAGAAGCGTTCCGTAGTCTATATTCGTATTACTCTCGAATTGAAGATATGCATAACTGTTTGCTTCGCACTGTATGGGGAAGACTACACTGGAGTTTCACCCTAGTGATATGACAAACACCAGTGAAAAACATATTTCACGACTACTGCATATCACCGCGGATATCGCGTTTTTCACCGAGTGTTGAACGGGTGAAACTACACTGAGTAAAACGCGCTGTACTCACCAGTAGGTCTTTCTTCCTCCTCCTCTTCTTCATCTGCCATCGATGAAGTTAGGGCTTCTATAAAGTGATGTTGTTGATATACGTGCGTAACCTGAACAATAGAGTTTCATCCGTGATATAGAAAAAAACACATTTTACTTCGCGAAAAACGCATGTGTGCTGCAAAATATCGCTTTCCTCAGCTGATCTCAATAGTTTCCGCACTAATCATAGGAGTTCATATACAAATCGATAAAAAATACGAGAAGTAGACAGAAACCAACAGGAATTCTTCAAAATTTCCTCATAGAGTTTAGATATTGTCACCAACACTTGTTGTTGATAATATGCCAGTTTTACCCAACTGGGACTAACACGTGAAAATTTTTTCTCACGTGAAACGGGGTGATATTTCCAGTGAAATTCGCGAGGTGTTGTCAATTCACTTCATACCACGTTTTTCACATGGAATACCACGTTACATCACGTGAAACGGGTGAAACTCCAACACATTCAACGTAGCGAATTCACCTGTTTTCCACCAACGGTGGTCTCGACATTCACGGCAGCCTCGGCAACAGCAACTGTGCGGCCCATCACCAATCGAAGTGCCCTTGGAATCAGTAATTGCCATCGACTTGTGATTTGGCTGACGTAGATCTCTGATAAACAATACTACAGTGTGAACAACGACCAAACCGTTATTATGCAAAGTAATATTTTCAATTTTTGAGATTTCGAAAGTCAACTTTGAGTAATATCAACATGGTAACAATGTGAATCGATTGACACCAACGTTTTAGAAGCGTTCCGTAGTCTATATTCGTATTACTCTCGAATTGAAGAAAGCCATCTCAAAAATCTAGATACGCATCATACCATACACATATATATTCCTCAAACTGCTGCATACCGCGAACATCGCGTTTTTCACAGAGTATTACGCCACTTCACGTAGAACGGGTGAAACTCCATAGTAGTCGTGAAATATATTTTCCATCAGTGTTTTTCATATCACTAGGGTGGAACTCCGATATATGTCTTTTTCGACTGTCTCAAAAAACGCATACATCGGAAAAATAGAGCCTACTTACTCAGTGTAAGAATGCGCGGCATCGTATGCACTGCAAAGGAGAAGGCAGCAGGTGCTAACGTACGACTGCCACCTCCCTGAGGATTTGGGCGATTAATGGTATCGTCCTGAAGGGCAGCGATAAGTTTTGGAGAAATATATGTTCGCTCTCCTCAACTGAGCTCAGGAGTTTACATACAGATTCGGCAAGAAATGTACAGAAACCAACAAAAATTTCCCGAAATTTCCTCAGAATTTTCATATTATCACCAACACATATACTGTAGTTGACAATGTGCAATCATGAAACGATTACCTAATATATTATTTATAATACAGTGCGTGCCAATTTGGTATGCAAATGTGTGTTATTTTTGGAGGTTGATGAAAATCGATGTGAAATTCTATCGCATATACGATGTAACAATGGCTATGAACATGTGTTGTGATGAAAGTACCTGTTTAGAACTGTGATAGTAACAACTTGTTCACTATAATTCTTCTTCCAAAATAACACGCATTTGCATATCAAATTGACACGTACTGTACAATATCTTAAAATATACACTACATGGCTATCGTCAGTGCGGGAATATATGCACATGGTCAACTACATGCGTTGCTAGGAATATAGAAATTTTGAGGAAATTTTGCGAAATTATCGTTGATTTTTGTATACTTATACCCAAAATCGTGTGGTTCTTCATAAAATGGTGACGAAACCTACGAGCTCAGTTGAGGAAAAAAAGCATATATTTCCATACTGGCTATCGTATTCCTTGCTTAATATCATTATAAATTATAGACGAATATTTACGATTGCCTACCCGATTCGCTTCTCCCAGACACCAAGTGTATATGTCCGTAACTGGCAGCTCAAATTCAGAGTAAACTTCAGTGCCTGAAATTATGGTATCAACCAAGAGCACTATTTTCAAAAACCGACGTTTTTACCCGCGTCTAAACTTGCAGAAGCGTACACTCTCAGTCTTCGGGCATTTTGTCGTCGCTCTATTTCCAATGGAGAATCCAACTTGTGATCAACGGTGATGAGCTCATCGTTTTGAAGGAGGCGCATCTCGTACTACATACAATTGAGTTTCACCCTAGTGATATCAAGAAAACTAGCGAGAAATATATTTCACGACTACTGCATAGCGCCGCGAATACCGCGTTTTTCACAGAGTATTACGCCACTTCACGGAAAACGGGGGAATCTCCATTGAGTCCAATGTGAAGAAAAAGAGCGCACAGATTCTTGGAAATTCAATATCTCCACGAAACAAAACGGAACTTCAGAATCGAAATCAGCCATGTTCATTGCGTACGAGAGTCCAAACGGCCCGTCTTCGACATTATTCCTACTACACCTCGTGCAGAGTTTCACCCGTTTAACGTGAAGTCGCGTAATACTCCATGTGAATTATAAGGCGTATATGTTTCCGCGATAATATGATCGTTTTTTACTAGTGTTTTTGCATATCACCGGTGAAACTTTATTGCTGGAAAATATGTAATCGCTTTCCTCAGCTGAACTCAGGAGTTTGCATACGAACTCGGATGGAAGTGTACAGGAAGCAACAATAATTTCACCAATTATCAATATCGATAATCATCACCAACACATGTAGTTGACCATGTGCATATTTTCCCCCAACACTGAGTAAACTGAGAAAGTCACATAAATTTTGCATCTGAGCTCAGGTGAGGAAAGCGAACATATATTCCTCCAACACGGTGCATAATCGTATAGATCCCACCTGTGGCTCTCCAGGTTGCCTCCTCATCTTCGCCCATCTCTTAGCGACAACATCGACCGCCTCGGAGTACGGCAGAGATTTCAACACCGCCACCTGCACGCAATGTTGGAAGAATTCATGTTCGCTTTCCTCAGCTGAGCTCAGGAGTTTTTACACTAATTACGCCTAGAAGTTCGAGTAGAAGTGTACAGAAACCAAGAAATTTCTCCTGAATTTTCCTCAGATTTTCCATGTTGTCACCAACACGTGTAGTTGATCATGTGCATATTTTCCCACACTACTCTTGTTGTTGTGGCATGCGGTTTCGCTCTATCGCTGTCAATACCAATTCACTGGTTTCCAATAGAGTAGTGTTGGACTATATGTTTGGTTTTCTCAGCTAAGCCCAGAAATTCCCTCACTACTTAATGAAAATTCATATACGGTTTACGGTAGAAGTCTACTCAAAATTTCCTCAGAATTTTCCTGTGTCACCATCACATGTACATACTTCACCACACTGAACCCGCGAAACTCAATTCCCGAGTGCACTCACCTCTTTCGCTTCCTCATCCCTCTCAATAGACTGTCGCTTTTCCTCGAGTGAGGAATCGGCCATCGAGACGAGGACAGCCTTCAGCACCCACGGGGTCGAAGTGAAGCCCTGCCACTCCCGTATGAGCTTCAACTGCACCCAGCTCGCATACCTGATATCCTCAAGGAGATGAGAGATGACTCAACGGTCCTCTGATTCAGTGTCGGAATATATGTTTGATTTCTCCAGGTGGAAAAATTATGAGAATTTGCACACGACCGGGGGTAAAAAGTACAAAAACCGGCGATATTTTCTCAAAATTTCCTCAGAATTTTCGTATTATTATCACCAACAAACGTAGTCGGTCATGTATATATTTTCCCACACTGAGCTGATTATTCATCGTGCTTCTATTAATGGAGTTTCACCCGTTTTACGTGAAGTGGCGTAAAACTCCGTGAAAATCGCGATATTTGCGCCTTGCAATAGTCGTGAAATATGTTTTTCACTAGTGTTTTTCATATCACTAGTGAAACTCCAATAATGCTACACATTATAACAAGAATTCATAATACTATTCAACCAGAACTGACAGCTCGTGAGTGCTATCCAGCATCCGTCTTTCCTCCTCATCCCGCTGTACTCTCAATTCCCATCTTTGCCGCATCACATCTTCACTTGGAACAGCACCACTGGAGTGGGAATAATAACACGAGTCATTTCAAGCTCGACACCTCTCGTTAATCAGTCCTGACAGCTGTGCATTGAAAGCCTCTATCTTTTTCTTGGACCGGTCACGCCAACTGGTGTAACTAATTGGCTAAATGCTGGAGGAAACCAAAGGCTGCTGGTCACTTTCGCCAATTCTCCAACAGTTTCGAAGCCTTCGAGCCCTCATCTCCTAGTAGTTTCACTGAGCTGGCGTATCCACTCAGATCTACGGACTTCACTTCAACGTAGAGATGGTATCTACAGGTAGTTTACGGCAGTCCTCAGGAAGCGGGTGGTCACAGTTTTTCCTCATCCCCGACGGAGTCTATCTCGACTGCTACTCCACGATGGCTTTTGGATTTGTCTTGGCTGAAGGCAGCCTGACCAGAGGTGTAATCGAGTCGGCGTAGTGCTACGATGGGTAGGTGCTTACTGGGACGAAGGTGTAGCGACAAGGGGTGCCTTGTTGGAGCGAAGGTGCTTGTGAGAATGACATTATATATGAGAGTTCAGACTGATTTGATTTAACAGACAAGGCAATGAAAAAACAGTCAGCGTAATGACGACTGACTGTTATGACTGTTATGACTGTTATGATGAGGACTAACAGTAGCGCAAGTGAGCAAGCATGGTCGTCATCTCTGAAAAGGCGAACCATGGTAGTAAGCTTTGTTTTCACTTTAGTTCGGCTTCCACACTGTCAACGCTGAGCTCGAAACTGAGAGGCCCGAGGCTTAGAGCTTTCCTTGTTGGATCCACACGAATGCGGATGGAGGTGAGATGGAAGGAAAGGAGACATGCTACTAGCATGTCGTTCAACACTACTATGTGCCTCTGCGTATCATCCCAGCTCACCCGAGCTGTATACTCAGTTTGATGATACTGTTGGTAGAACCTTCCCATCACTGAGGAACGCTATACGAGGGGAGTGCGAATTAGGACAAAACGAACTTGAGCCAGATGGCTACGGCTCAACACGGACTCATGCGTGCACACTATCTCTAGTTCTATCTTAATTGCTTTTATACCACGCTGCAGGAGTCCCAAAGACCAGTAGAACCAAACCATACCGGGCGTTCAAGAAACAACACAAAACAGGCTCCTGAGAGTGCTGCTGAATAGCGCTTTTGAAGTGTTCTCCTGGAATCACGTTCAACTAACGCGCTCCCGAAATATGTCGGGAGCTCTCCTGGGAGTCAGCAGAAAATCTGTTCAAATAACAGAGCCTTGAAAAGCGCGCTTGAAAACCTCTCTTGAGAGAGCTCTTTGCATCGCTTCGCTCGTAGCGCAACTTTTGATCGCTTACTTTTGTACTTAGCATCTTTGACAGTTGGAAACAACGAGCCTCTTTTACTAGCAGTTAATGAAAGAGGATCTAGTAGGCGGTTAGTGACTAACCACATACCTTAAGACGGGAAAAACTGAAGAAACTAAGGTTAGATCGTTTCACTAACAAACAAGAAGGGGTAAGTTTACAAGTTCCTCAGACTCACTGAGGTAAGAAACAGTGAGACTCACTCTTACTTAAGAGTCTTAAGTTAAGACTCTTAAGTTGAGAGTGACTCTCACTCTTAAGGTAAGAAACCTTAAGAATTAACGTTATTTTTTCAAGGACGGCAAGGTCCTTACTGTAAGGAGGTAGTTTGTATCACTAACCCACCGGCGGTGGGCCGGGCTCACCGCCGAAATGGGCTAACAGCCTTCTTGACACTCCAAAATGGTCTCTTAGCTTCTCCGTCCTAGTCCTCGTAGAGTTAAGATCTCGGGTGTTCCTTGTACCAGATAAGGTTGTACTGGTACAGTATCGTCAGCAGGTGGAGTCCTCCAGCTAGTGTCGAAGCCAACTGAAGCTGCTTCGTAGTCATTCTCCTCCACCTGTGGAGAGTCTTTTGCTGCGGGTTGGACTGACTCTAACCTAGTAGCAGTGGCTATCGTAGTAGAAGGCTCGCCGACACCATCTTCTGTTCGTAGTGGAGTAGTAGGTGCATGCCGAATATGGCGTAGTGCGGTATGATCTCGGGCTCGAGCTACTCGTGAAGCATCATCGGGTTGATTGGGCGTGGTAAGCTTCATAGTGCGTAGTGTACCATCCGAGTCTATATATGCTCGTTGAGATTAATGGTAATAGTTAGTAATAGCCGCTTGTAGTGCACAAGCATGTACCACGTTCTTCAGGGAATAGGACTCTGATGCTCCATAGATTTGTGGGACTTTTGCACTAGTTCGATCTTCGCCAGCTTCGACACCACCAATACCTTCGAGTAATATGCCTTGGATGGCCTTGACCATGGACGAGCCTTGTAGTTGGACGACCGTATAGGGACCGCTCCAATGGGTCCGTAGGTGGTTGCCGATAGCAGCATCAGTTCTCTTAGTGGTGAAGATCAAGTCAAATAACTTCGGTTCGTAGTTGTTGGAGTTCTCTGACGCATAACGTTGTAGATGATCTTGCTGTTTGATACGCCAGAGCTCCAGATATTCACTCAGAGTAGTCTCCATTTTCTCACGGGCGTCTGTGAGTAGTGGGACATTTTGGTGAACGAAGTCAACAATATCTGTGGTGGAATATTGCATGTTGAGGGTGTCCCAGTCAATTGAGTTATCCAGTTCTGGGTGTAGTCCAGGGAGTCGTCCAGCATACCCATAGTGAAGCTCGAATGGGGTAACATTAGCCCAGAGCCTGGGGGTGTGGTTATAGGCACGTACTGCTACCAAGTAGTCGGCGATGTAGGCATTCTCCATTATGCTAGTACGGGCGTCAGGACCGGTTATAGGCCGACTTGCTTGTAGTGCGCGAGTAACCTCCACAAAATCCTTATGTGCTCTTTCCCAAAATCCCAAATGATAGGAATAACCTGGCAGTACATAATGTTTAGTGCCATGTCGTGCCAATACCAGTTTAACGGCTTTACTAGATAGTATAGTACGGTCATGGTCAGTGAGTAGTGCTGCGGGACTCCCATGTTCCAAGAACACACTGTCTAGTATGTTAGCGACAGTATTGGCCTTACAGTTACGCATAGGACGTCTAACCGTGAAACCACTGACGTAGTCGTGCACTAGGATAATGTAGTGGTCTTTGTCGGTTTCATCAACTGGGTTGGGGTTAGTAGTCCTCGTAGTTGGTTGCCTGTCATAGGGGCCAGCAATGTCTACACCGACTAGTTGCCAGAGAGCTTCGGTTAGTAGTGTTTGGACTTGAGTGACTAGGTAGTTGTGTTGTCTTGTGGCTCTCGCCTTAAGACACGGGATGCAGGAGCCGATGGTTAGTCGCACCAACTTGAACATAGAGTCACGCCAGTAGTCACGCCTTAGTAGGATGTGGACTCGTTTAGTACCCAGATGACCATGCAGATAATGAAGAATAGTTGCCAAGACTCGCACTAGAAAGGCAGAGTACAGGCTTCTCCCAAGACATAGTACACCCTTTTTATTGTGCGGCTGAGTTAGTCGGTGTGGTTCCGGATAGCGCCGGAGTAGGCCATCATCATCCAGGAGACACATCTTAGCAAGCCGCTGTAGTCTAGTAGCTCGGACACCATAGAGAGACATCGTAGTTACACCTAGTAGTATGGACTTCAGGTCACGAATATCTTCATCTTCTTGCTGCGACCGGATTATACACGTTCTAACAGACGTAGTGAACCGAGAGTCTTCTAATAGTCCACTTGTCATCCGGTCCGAAGGTTTAGCGTAGTCCATGAGATCCTCTAACTCTTGTCTTTGTTCATCGGGCAGTGGACCAACCTCAGGCAGGTCTATACCGTCTTCGTTGATTGCTAGTACCGCTGGTGCAGTAGTAGAGGTAATAGAGTCTTCACTAAACTCGTCTGGTTGGCATCGGTAGTCGTATATGACCTTGGCCGTCTTCAGAGAGTTCAACACCTCAGTACCGATGATGTCATTGGTAGTCTTGGCACGCGAAATACTATCGGCGTAGTTCAGAGCGGACGGAACATGAAGTGTTATAACATCGAGCTCTTTGCAGAGTTTACGAACTTCGACTAGTCGTCGTCGTTCAACCACTGGTAGTCGTTTATCATTTGCCGGTCGCCTCAATCGGTAAATAGTGATTTCGCTATCACACAACAGCCGAACTTGGCGAGGTTCAAGGACGGGGGCCAGTGGATCCAGTGGAACTTGATGAGGTTTGTAGTAGCTCGGTACAGGTAAGTACGGTGACATAGCCTTGAGTAGTTGTAGTCCTTTATAGAGGGCGACCAGCTCCTTGCGCGGCTCGGCGGAGGCTTAGTAGGTCGGGAGGAACTTTGCCGCGTAAGAACTGAATCCGAGTAGACCAAACCACTAGTCGAACACAAAGGCACGCTTCTATAGCTTGAGCAATAGTAGTCCATAGTCCTAGTAGTAGTGGCTCAAATGCTAGTAGTGGTCTTACTAGTCACAATCACAGAGTCTAGTGCAGACACTAGAGGATCAATCGGTCTATAGCCAACAAGTAGTTAAGCGATAATCCGTATAATCAACCTCTAGCAAAACTTTAGTTGCTCTTATAGCTATACGATGGTCAGTAGGTAGTGGATCAGCATCTGGTAGGTCCAAACCGTCGGTGTTTAGAGATATAACACATGGCGGAGTAGAGAGGCTAGTAGAGACGTCCTCTTCGTCAGTGTCTTCAGGTTGGCAACGGTAGTCGTAGATTACCTTGGCCACGGTCATAGAGTTGAGTACCTCATCTGGCTCGATTGTAACCGTAGTAGCCTTACCCCTTGAAATACTATCAGCATAGTTGAGCTCGGAGGGAATGTGTAGTACAATGACATCCAGTTCCTTACAGAGCTTCCTAGCCTCAGATAGACGACGACGCTCTGCTGCAGGTAGGCGTTTATCATTACCTGGACGGCGTAGTCTATAGATAGTGATTTCACTGTCACAGAGTAGTCGCACTTGTCGGGGTAGTAGCACCGGGGATAGTGGGTCCAAGGGAGCCTGTCCCTTCCTATAATGAGTAGGTATAGGTAAGTAAGGAGACATAGTCTTGAGCATTCGTAAACCTTTACAAAGTGCCACCAGCTCCTTCCTCGGAATAGTCCATTTCGACTGCACTTTGGGGAATACACCTCCACGGCTAAGTAGTCTGGGCGAGATAGTAGTCCCACTAAAACAGCGTATATCAACACCCCATAAGTCGGTGGAGGCATCAGTACATACTAGTAGTGGTTGATGCTGAACATCGATATGCCGAGGTATGCCAATAGTAGTAGCTAGTAAGCAATCATTGATCCAATCTCGAATCTCGTTCACCAAGTTGATGTTGATGACGGTGGACCATGAATGATAGTCGTTACAAATATGCCTCCAGATGAGTCGTCCTTTCAGGTCATACTCTATAAGTAGTCCTAATGGGTCGTAGAAGGAAGCAAGGGCAGAACATGCTTCTCGTTTAGTAGTAGTACCCTCCACTAGAGTTGGAGTCCCTTGTGGACTGCGCCCGACCTACTGATCGTGTTCCCAATGGTCTGCTACAGGACGCCCACTTTTCGTCATGTGTTACTACTTGTGTACGACGTGCTCAACAACTAGATGATGATATTCAACACTTGAAGGCTATACTACAAGGGGATCCCTCTACCACTCTACATGGAGTACAGTCTACTCGACTACATCGTCTCGCTAGAATCTTCTTCCTCGACGATGATGGCTTACTACGTAGATATCCGGAACCCCATAAAGTTGTACAACCCTATGATGAGCTGGGACTACTTCATCTAGGCCGAAGTCTTTATTCTGCCTTCCTGGTACGAGTGTTAGCAGCAATCTATCACTACCTCTATGGGCACTAAACGAGTGCACATTCTTCTGAGAAGAAACTATTGGAGGGATGCTATGTTCAAGTTGGTTCGACTTACTATCGGTCAGTGATGAGTCGAGCCTTGTTACCATCACGGCCCTACGCATGGCCGAGCAGAGTATATACTACAGTACTGGTGATACCACTAAGATAGAGGATACTACTATTAGTGTAGAAGAGGAGAATGACTAGTTATCCTTCTTGCACTAAAGTTTTTTTGATTATTGCTGCCTTGATGACTACTATGAGCCTAACTAAGTGATCTGTCGTACTACTACTGCGTATTAGTCGTGGCCAATGCGCGAGCCGGCAGCTCGCGTGCGCCACAGCGCAAGACCCAAAACGACTAGATTTCTGAAACGGCTACTATTGAACTACTGCTTTTACTGTATTGAGAAGTACTATTGAACTACTTGTTCTACGTGGTTATAACTAGAGTTCTTGGAACTACTCGTTCTACTTGGCTCTGTTAGAACTACTAGTTCTCGTCTGCACTAGACTTAGTGATTTAGACTGGTTTGATTACTACTAGTCCTTGAGCCACTATATGAGGACCATCGATGACTATTGCTCAAGCTATTAACGCTTGTCTTTGCGTTAGACTAGTTGGTATTGGCTATTTAGGATTCAGTTCTCTCGCGGCAACTACTAGTACTGCTTCCGGTGGCATTGTAAGGCTTAGTCGTCTAGCGTTCTGCTGACTACTTCTTAGCTTTACTCACTCTTCCTGCAACTACACTACTAACCGCCGCCGCCGCCGGGCCGCGCATAACTCGCGGAATTGGAAGACTAACGTCACTACGCTCCGCCAAAATCAATGAGCGCGCGCCTCAAATCCCGTGAGCACGATTTCAGGAGCGATGAGAACTCTCCTGGAAAACGCAATCCTAAGAGCACTCTCGGGCGAGCAAAAAATACTTATTGAACATGCCGAGGAGCACTCATCAGAGTGATCATGGGAGCGCTCCTGATCGTAGTCCATTGAACGCGTTTTCACGCACTGCTCTCCTGGGAGAGCTCCTGGGTTTGACAATAGCTTTTTTGAACACCCGGATATATCTGTCATCACCTTCAGTCGACCAGCCGTTTCGGATCTATCTGGCGATCGCTAACTTCCAGATTCGACAGAGCTCGGAATCTAGACATTTCACCATTCACTGCTGTTGTTCATGCGTGCAGCGGACCGCACCATGAGGACCTCATGATGAGGCACGCAGACGCATAGCTCTCCCCGGGCAAAAGCTGTGCGTTTACGTACCGATTACTTCGTAGAGGGAGGTATAACCCCTTGTGAAGATTACGTAAGTACCCCAACCACTATCGATGTCGTCACCGAGGTGATTGAGTTCACCTGAGTCCCTCCAGTCAGAGCGTGAGCTAGAGGAGGTACACCTTACGTAACATTCTTAGCCTCGTTACTTCAAGGAACCCTCCACAGTTATAAGGAGGCGCTCCTTCCTCAAAGAAGTAGGGCCAGTGAGAGAATCTGTTTGCGCCCGAGTATGAAGGGGCATGACTCGATTGCAGGGCCTATCTGAGATAGGCTATCTCGCATGAAGCCTCTCGAGATGCGCCTCAACTTCAGGAGCAAGGCGCGAGGAGCCTCACACCATAATAAGGTGACCTTATCCTTACATGGATATTCAGCCGAGCGAAGCCTCCAGAAATTGCGGATTATATAGGATGCAATGCGATACTAATACAAGAGCAACCTTAGGACATCTAACGTAACGTCTTAAAGAAGGGACCAAAGTTATTGTTGATGTCCGGTGCCTCCTGCCGTTCCCTTGTGTCAACACGACCCGACATTAGCTGGAGGGATGTGACCCAAAAATACACTAAGACATTGAGCCAGATGGCTACGAACTTAGGAGCTAGTAACGCTGCATAGTAACGTTCAATGCTCAGGATCAATAGTACTGAATGCATCCTACACTTGTACGCAAGCACAAGGAGAAAGCCTGTACGCATGTACAAAAAGGTGACGCTCTCTGCCGCACAGACTGGTCGAGCATGAATAATATCTCGCCTGATACGAGTTTGAGAACCCGTGAGGCCGAAACCATCTAAGCTCCTGTACAATAGACAGCTGAGCTTAGTCTGATATCTCCTTGTGTCGAATGTGTTTGAGTGACTCAAGTTGAGTCACCACTCAAACACATTCGACAGAGTTGAGTCACTCAACCGGTTTCTTACACGTTCAAATTTGCGGCACTTCCTTTGCTCCAAGAGGGTGAATGTCTATGGTAGCCCTCTTCTGTTTCCGATGTATCGGTCCAGCTTCGTCCGATTTACGACGCCTGTTAGATAGTTTGTCTCCTAGCGTTCAATTTAATGATGAAAAGCTTCATGATCGTCCATATCGCTATGATCCTATCATATGTCGCAGCCTGTGGCGCCCATTGGACCTACGATGACCAGAATTCGTGGCCTGGTATGTGTACAATTGGCGAATCTCAATCACCGATATCCATTGAGACCGTTGCTGTTGATCAATCGGTCACAATGCATGACCTGCAAATTATTTACGATATCGTCGATAATGCTACTTTGAGTATTTCTGATCACGGTATCGATGTGGTGGTCAATGATGACGAGGAGAGGTACACAATTGGTAACGTCCGCAACTATGACAGTGACATCTTCATTTTGAGCCAATTCCACGCTCATTGGGGGTTGACGGATGAGTTCGGCAGCGAGCATCTATTCGAAG